GAGTGAGGAATGGCTTGTCTGCCCTCTTGAGGGATCCTGACTAATCCCCAACAGGAGGCTTGGCATGGGGTCAGGACAGCCCTTAAGAGTGACAGAGTCTGATCAGCAGCAGGAAAGCTGGGGTGGAAGATGGAGAAGTAAGAAGTTGGAGAGCGGGAGCCTCAGAAGAGGCCTAGATGGAGAGGGGCTCACCTACAAGCAGGGAAGCTTGGAAGGAGGAAAGCTCAGGACTTCATCAGCCTCCAGAGTGGGGACCACCTACGCAGCAGGGAAGGAGCGGACCAGCAGAAGGCCTGAGAGCCACCACCAACCCATCAACTCATAAGAGAAGGACTGAATGAGTAAACTTACACCCCCAGGGCTAGTAAGGGGAAGGAGCACTCTGGTGGGAAACTGGATTAGCTACTACCTGGGACTGTCTTCTCTTAAAGTGACAGGCACTGGATCCCCTGCCCAGGATTCACCCAGAACAGCTGGATAGCGGAGAATCTGGGGTCTGGGTTGGTACTACAGGAGATGCTGCCTAGTTCTCCAGAAGAGAATTTTTGCTGTAAGAACTTGTATATAGTTCCAGGAAGTTTGTCCTTTGTTTCCACTCCCTTGGGCATCCCATACACCCCTTACCCCATCCACGTTTAAATTCTGCTAAAATAAATCCAAAAACCAAGCTCACGGACCGGTTACTGTCTCCTGGATGCAACTCTGAATGGAAAATGCGTGTTGCCTGGCTGTGCAGGACTATAGGGGGACCCAGATCTCTAGCGACTCCTGAGGGGGCAGTGCTATATATTTTACCAAACAATTGGGTATTATATTGTGTTTATGCATAATAAAATTCACTGAAGTGCATTTTTTCCTAAAAAAATTTGTGTTTAAAAAAAAACTGCACAAATATTGTGTGAGATAAAAATATGCAACAGCCACCATTTTATTTGCTAGGGCCTCTGCTAAAAAAATATATATATATAATGTTCGGGGGGGGTTCTAAGTAGTTTTCTAGCAAAGAAATATAAAGAAAAAATGTTGTTGCGCTCCCATACACAGTACCTACATATTAAATACACTCAAATGGCATAATTAATGCATGGATGTAATACATCTCTAATATTCTCTAATGTATGAGATATACACATCAAAAAAAGGACAATCTCATATTATTATTATTATTATACAATATTTATAAAGCGCCAATAGTTGGCTCAGCGCTGTACATTACAAAGGGGGGGACAGAACATGTGACAGAACAATACCAATACAATGCAAAACATGAGGGGATTGAGGGCCCTGATCCTTGGAGCTTACAATCTAGGAGGGAGGGGATGGTGGCACAGGAGGAGATAGCTGTGGGGGATGGGGTGGTAGGAAGAGTGGAGGAGGTCGGCAAGTTAGCAGGGGGTGGGGTAGGCTTCCCTGAAGAGATGGGTTTTCAGGGTGCGCCTAAAGGAGAGGAGAGTAGGTGATAATCTGATGGGTTGGGGCAGGGAGTTCCAGAGGATGGGTGACACCCTGGAGAAGTCCTGGAGGCGGGCATGGGAGGAGGAGACCAGGGAACTAGAGAGAAGGAGGTCTTGTGAGGAGCGGAGTGTGCGTGTTGGGTGGTACTTGGATATTAGGTCAGGTGATGTAGTTCGGGGCAGTATGGTGGCAGCTTTGTACGTCAGTGTTAGGATTTTGAATTTGATCCGTTGGGCAATCGGAAAGTGCCCCACCCCGCCGCTCCTCCTCCCTCCTTCCCCACCCTCACCTTCCCACCCAGTCCCCTTTCCCGATGCCACGCCCTCTCCCACTCCGCCCCTACCCCATACCCCCCACGTATCCCCCACCCCCACTCCGCCCATTCCCCCCTCACCCCCCCCCCGCCAGTGGAGGGATTGGCAGAGGGGGGTGGAGGACACTGAGTGGAGGCCAGTGGAGGGATTGGCAGAGGGGGGTGGAGGACACTGAGTGGAGGCCAGTGGAGGGATTGGCAGAGAGGGGTGGAGGACACTGAGTGGAGGCCAGTGGAGAGATTGGCAGAGGGGGGTGGAGGACACTGAGTGGAGGCCAGTGGAGGGATTTGGCAGAGGGGGGTGGAGGACAGTGAGTGGAGGTCAGGGGGAGTTGGCAGAGGGGGGTGGAGGACACTGAGTGGAGGTCCAGTGGAGGGATTGGCAGAGGGGGGTGGAGGACACTGAGTGGAGGTCAGTGGGGGGTTGGCAGAGGGGGGTGGAGGACACTGAGTGGAGGTCAGTGGAGGGATTGGCAGAGGGGGGTGGAGGACACTGAGTGGAGGTCAGTGGGCGGTTGGCAGAGGGGGGTGGAGGACACTGAGTGGAGGTCAGTGGAGGGATTGGCAGAGGGGGGTGGAGGACACTGAATGGAGGTCAGTGGAGAGGGATTGGCAGAGGGGGGTGGAGGACACTGAGTGGAGGCCAGGGTGGAGGGATTGGCAGAGAGGGGCGGAGGACACTGAGTGGAGGCCAGATTGGCAGAGGGGGGGTGGAGGACACTGAGTGGAGGCCAGTGGAGGGATTGGCAGAGGGGGGGTGGAGGACACTGAGTGGAGGCCAGTGGAGGCCAGATGGAGGGGTGGCAGGGGGGGGGGTGGAGGAGATGGAGCGGTTGGAAAGGTGAATGAGTCTGGCAGCCGTATTCAGGATGGACTGAAGCGGGGATAGCCAGCGGCGAGGCAGGCCAGTAAGGCCAGGCCAGGCTCATATGATAATTTGTAAGAATATATACATATATAAAGGAAAAATACACATCAAACACTAAAGAAAATGGTGAGACAATGTACATGCGTCCCCTTATTAAGGGCAAAAGTGACATAAATCACAAATAAAGAGTGATAAATAAATGATATAAAATATGCCTAAAAAAGTGGCGTGAAAAAGGGCTCACAACGTGAATAATACCTATAAATATATACGGTGAGACTGACTGTCAGGATCAAAAACCTGACTCAAGACAAGACTTTCAGACCACACAAAGTCCTTCCACATAAATGTGTTTCAAAAATGTGATAAATGACCAGAATAAACAATTATAAATAATGTGCTCAAGTCCCTAATTGGGACTTATTTGTGTTAACACAAACACATCAAAAAGTGCCACAAAGTAAATAACACAATGTGCTGCAAACTATATAAAATACTCTACTAAGCCACAAAATAGGTGCCACCAAAAAATAACAACAATAAACAGCAAATGTCCCCATGTGAAATCTTCAAACAGCTGAATAAAGTGAAAAATTCAGTGATACAGGAGATACAGGTGTAAAAAGTGGGATCCATCACCGGCTGGACTGCCCCCTCACCTTCATGTAGCGACCCCAAGGGGCCAATAAGCCTTCAAAATATAAGATACAGCAATACGGCCAATCAGCAGGTATCGATCCTGAGGAAGTCACGTGATACGTGACGCAATGCGTCGGACGATACAAAGAGACGTGGTGACGTCACTTCCGGCGTGGGCGCCATTTTGGTATCACTCTTTTTATTTGTGATTTATGTCACTTTTGCCCTTAACCCCCCTGGCGGTATTCCTGAGTGTAGCTCGGGGTTAATTATCAGTGCCAAAAGCGGTAACCCCCCCCCCCCCAGCTACACCCGGGATTACCATGCAGAGTTGCTCAAGGATTCCCAGCTGCACTTACCTTGTCCTGCGCTCCCGCGATGTCCCCCCTGCAGTGTTCCCTGTAATGTCCTCCGGCTAATGCCGGCATCTGTCTTCCGGGTTCCGCCCCCTGCGACGTCGGGACGTACGGGGGACGGAACTGGTGGGAAATTTTAAAAAGTGACATTCACTAAATACAGTAAAATCACATCGTATAACATTCCTGTATCAAACCATTTCACATACATTTTGTCCCAAGTGCTTTGTCCGGCGCCCTGCCTGCATTTTGACTGTTCTTTCTGCCTGGAAACTGAGAAACGTCCATGGCGTCCAAAAAGCGTCCCTTTAGGTCAGACGCGGTTTTAGACCAGCTAGAGAACAGCGATAGTAAATCAGAACCACTTGCAGAATTGAGTGATAATGATTGGTGGGGGAAATTCCTCATCAGACACTGAAAACGATTCTGCGACTGAGCTCAGCGATGTGCCAACTTGGCGCTCTATTTCACATTTCAGTGTTTTTGGTTTGATTATATTATTGAATTACCGTATTTTTTTTGCTCCATTAGACGCACTTTTGGGGGGAAAATGTCAGTGTGTCTTATGGAGCGAATGTAAAGCGGCCGGTCCAGTATTTCTGCCGCCACGTCAGAATATCGGGCCGGCCGCTCAGCTCTTCTCTCCTGCAGGACCTCACCTGTTCCTCACTCCAGCACTGCAGTCTTCCCGCGGCGGCTTCTGTGACAGCCGGGTGCCCACTGCACATGTGCGAGAAGCGCTGCGCTTTGTGAATGATCCGGTGTCTTCTGGGACACATGACAGGTCCCAGAAGGCTCTGGGCCATTCACAAAGCGCAGCGCTTCTCGCACATGTGCAGTGGGCACCCGGCTGTCACAGAAGCCGCCGCGGGAAGAAGGAAGGACAAATCCGCGGAAGTGGAAGCGGATACCTGCCAAATTCAGGTACCCGCTCCCCCTCTCTCCCCAAAGGTCCGCAGTCTCTGGTCATCTCCTTTACTGTCCGCAGTCTCTGGTCATCTGTACTGTGTCCGCAGTCTCTGGTCATCCCTGTACTGTGTCCGCAGTCTCTGGTCATCTCCTGTACTGTGTCCGCAGTCTCTGGTCATCCCCTGTACTGTGTCCGCAGTCTCTGGTCATCTCCTGTACTGTGTCCGCAGTCTCTGGTCATCTCCTGTACTGTGTCCGCAGTCTCTGGTCATCTCCTGTACTATGTCTGCAGTCTCTGGTCATCTCCTGTACTGTGTCCGCAGTCTCTGGTCATCTCCTGTTCTGTGTCCGCAGTCTCTGGTCATCCCCTGTACTATGTCTGCAGTCTCTGGTCATCCCCTGTACTGTGTCTGCAGTCTCTGGTCATCCCCTGTACTGTGTCCTCAGTCTCTGGTCATCTCCTGTACTGTGTCCGCAGTCTCTGGTCATCTCCTGTACTGTCCGCAGTCTCTGGTCATCTCCTGTACTATGTCCGCAGTCTCTGGTCATCCCCTGTACTGTGCCCGCAGTCTCCGGTCATCTCCTGTACTGTGTCCGCAGTCTCTGGTCATCTCCTGTACTGTCCGCAGTCTCTGGTCATCTCCTGTACTATGTCCGCAGTCTCTGGTCATCCCCTGTACTGTGTCCGCAGTCTCCGGTCATCTCCTGTACTATGTCCGCAGTCTCTGGTCATCCCCTGTACTGTGTCCGCAGTCTCCGGTCATCTCCTGTACTGTGTCCGCAGTCTCTGGTCATCCCCTGTACTATGTCCGCAGTCTCTGGTCATCCCCTGTACTGTGTCCGCAGTCTCTGGTCATCCCCTGTACTATGTCCGCAGTCTCTGGTCATCCCCTGTACTATGTCCGCAGTCTCTGGTCATCTCCTGTACTGTGTCCGCAGTCTCTGGTCATCTCCTGTACTATGTCTGCAGTCTCTGGTCATCTCCTGTACTGTGTCCGCAGTCTCTGGTCATATCCTGTACTATGTCCGCAGTCCCCGGTACTGGTCCGCATCTCCTGTACTATGTCCGCAGTCTCTGGTCATCTCCTGTACTATGTCTGCAGTCTGTGGTCATCCCCTGTACTGTGTCCGCAGTCTCTGGTCATCTCCTGTACTATGTCTGCAGTCTCTGGTCATCCCCTGTACTATGTCCGCAGTCTCTGGTCATCTCCTGTACTGTGTCCGCAGTCTCTGGTCATCCCCTGTACTGTGTCCGCAGTCTCTGGTCATCTCCTGTACTATGTCTGCAGTCTCTGGTCATCCCCTGTACTATGTCCGCAGTCTCTGGTCATCTCCTGTACTGTGTCCGCAGTCTCTGGTCATCCCCTGTACTGTGTCCGCAGTCTCTGGTCATCTCCTGTACTGTGTCTGCAGTCTCTGGTCATCTCCTGTACTGTGTCCGCAGTCTCTGGTCATCCCCTGTACTGTGTCTGCAGTCTCTGGTCATCTCCTGTACTGTGTCTGCAGACCATTGGTTCAGAATATTTTTTTTCTTGTTTTTCTCCTTGTGTCTTATGGAGTGAAACATTCGGTAAATGTATTATCATTATATTATTAGTTTTTTATGATTATTTATTATATTATAATTTATGATTTCGAGTTTCAAACTTTATCATCCCGGGATGTTTACTAGACTCTTGTTCAGACAGATTTCAGGGAGTTATTCCTAAACATTACAGGCCTACAATAAAAAAAAATACATATTTCCATGCAAATAAAAGTACCACTTTGAGCACAGAAATATGGACATAATCAGACCGCTAGGGAGGTTAATGAAGGGACGCATGTACATTGTCTCACCGTTTTCTTTAGTGTTTGATGTGTATTTTTCCTTTATATATGTATATATTCCTGCAAATTATCACGAGATTGTCCTTTTTTTGATGTGTATATCTCATACATTAGAGAATATTAGAGATGTATTACATCCATGCATTAATTATGCCATTTGAGTGTATTTAATAAGTAGGTACTGTGTATTCATTTTATTCAGGTGTATAGCCAGGCGATAGCAGTTTCCTGATTTGAATTTTATTCCATCTGGGTAGCGCAGGTATTCTACATAATACATTTCTAGCAAACAAAATGCTGATTTTGTTACCTATAGAAGAGAAATGTCAGAATTGGCCCGTACTGGAATCGGTTAATGGCCCAGTAGCTTGTCTAAAGTCTTCCTGGCCATGCCCAGTGTGCTTTGTGATCCCACTCAGGGCCAGGACAAGGGGTGGGCAGGAGGGGCGACTGCCCTGGGTGAATAGTTTAGTGCAGGGATGGGGGCACCCTGTACTGAGTTTTTTCTGTTCCAAGGCTGACAGGAGTTGTAATAGTGGCATCACTACTCCTGTCAGCCCAGCAATGGGAGAAGCAAGGAGAGAACCAAGAAGAGGTGCCTACCACCTACGCGGATCCTCTAACCACTTGCCGCCCTGCCACTGTATATATACGTGTGCAGGGCGGGGTACTGGGGCGCAAAAGCACGTTGTAAAACGGGCACCGTGCTCCCGACGTTTTCACCGGCAGGGGGGGCGCACGCTCGCTCCCGCCGACCCGCGGGTGACACCATTCGATCACGGAGGGATCAATCATTCGATTTCAGCCAGTGATGTCTGGCTGAAATCAGATGATCGGTCCCTGTCCTGTCCTGTGTTGACATTTACACAGGACAGGATATGATGTCCATTCTCCTCTGCCTGGACACATTCCGTTCCAGACAGAGAAGAAGACATAGAAACAGTGAGTAAAAACAGCACATACCCACAGTTAGAACACTCTAGGACACATTTAACCCCCTGATCGCCCCCCCCCCCCCCCAGTTAACCCCTTCACTGCCCTGTCACCAGTGTCACTGATCAGTGAACCGATTTTTACTGATCACTGTATCAGTGTCGCTGGCGACTTCCGATAATGTTAGCGCCCCTCCCAGATAGCACCAGTTTGCCCGCTAGTACACCAGTAATCCCATTAAACCCCTTAATCTCCCCCCCCCCCCAGTTAACCCCTTCACTGCCCTGTCACCAGTGTCACTGATCAGTGGACCAATTTTTACTGATCACGGTATCAGTGTCGCTGGCGACTTCCGATAGTGTTAGCGCCCCTCCCAGATAGCGCCAGATTGCCCGCTAATACACCAGTAATCCCATCTAACCCCTTGATCGTCCCCCACCCCCCCCAGTTAACCCCTTCACTGCCCTGTCACCAGTGTCATTGATTACAGTGAACAGATTTTTACTGATCACTGTATTAGTGTCACTAGCGACTTCCGATAGTGTTAGCGCCCCTCCCAGATAGTGCCAGTTTGCCCGCTAATGCACAGGATTTTTTTTTACCAAAAACATGGAGCAGAATACATTTTGGCTTAAATTTATAACTAACTTTGAGTTTACGATATATTTTTTATAGCTGAAAGTAGAAAATATTGTTTTTTTTTTTTTTTTCAAAATTTTCGTGTTTTTTTTGTTTATAGCGCAAAAAATAAAAAGCACACAGGTGATAAAATACCACCAAAAGAAAGTTCTATTTGTGTGAAAAAAAAGGACGTAAATTTTGTTTGGGTGCAGCATTGCATGACCGCGCAATTATCATTTGAATTAGTGCAGCGCCAAACAGCAAAAAAAGGCGTGGTCATTAAGGGGGGTAAATCCTCAGGAGCTCAAGTGGCTAAGCCCGCACATCATGAATGGGAGAAGCAAGGAGAGAACCAAGAAGAGGTGCCTACCACCTACGCGGATCCTCTAAGCCCGCACATCATGAATGGGAGAGGGGGAACAGTTTGGCATGTTTGCCCTGGGCACTGGACGACCTTATTCCGGCACTGATCCCACTTTTCCCAAGGCTCAGTTTCAATGGGCACATAGTGAACAAGAACTGTAAATAAAACAGACTTGACCCGGGCTTGATGTGATGAAACTACGTCTACGGAGAACACAGAGATCGCCAATTGGAAAATTGAAATGGCAGTGCAAGTGACTCAATACAGTTCATCGTCTTTAGTCCGCCGGGAAATCAGAGTCTCATTTTTACAGACAGTCCCATTGGTCCTCCTAGGACTGGTAACACATTGTTTATTTTCTCCTCAACATCTGTAGACTTCCATGCGGATGATTTAAAATGAATGTCGGAATACTAATGGGCCGGTCTTGACGTCGATTCCATTTTCTATATATTGTGCTCAGACAGAAGCCGGTCCTGGGAAATGGTCTAAAGTGAATGCCATTAGCGGAGAATAATGCAGAAGAATTCGAATGAATGAAGCAAACGTACGATAATTGGAAGATGGGAAAAGCTTTCAGCAAACTACGCTGAACCGTTGGATTACTTCTCAGTAATGGCCAATTATCTTCCAAGGAAATTATTTTTTAATATCCAGAATAATGCAGACTGTATCTAAACAGTTGTCCTTCCCGTAACATGTTAGGTTTCTCTTTCTGTAGAAGGTGTTCATTAAACTGGTTGTAAACCTCAGACATGAAATATGAACAAAGCATATCCCTCTATAGTGTGCACTTGTCTCAGTCCAGAGCGCTAAGTGTCATTTCTCTATTGTAACGGGACCGATCCCCGACTGCACTTGGGTATTTCCGTTAGAATACCGCTTCCCCGTCCGAACACCAACCACAGACACCATCGCTGACCATACAAGACTAGATGACACCAGTCTTGAAGTAAACCAGGAAGTGGACTCGTTTATTTGAACACAGATACAAGATATATACACTCAGGGGACAATCCCCCCTCCCTGCATAATGACACAGGGCGGGGCAATCTACATTTAGTATCAAGAGACACTCCAGCAGACAGTCCCATCAGGAGGGAGGGCTGCTGGAGACACTCCCCCAGCAAGCCAATACACAAACATCCTATAATAGTTTGCTCCCAAGCAAGACACACAATAGAACAATGGGATGCCACCTACATGGCACTAAACAATCCACACACCCCCCCCCTCCAATATTTTTCTGCTAAGGGGACAGGACAACTGCACCGCATCAAAGGGACGATGGACGGGGCAATGTAACATCAAATCTTGGGTGAGAACCTTTTTCCCTCAGCCAGGGCATTGAAAATGGGTGGTGGATGGGTGTTCCAGCATGACAATGACCCAAAACGCACGGCCAAGGCAACAAAGGAGCGGCTCAAGAAGAAGCACATTAAGGTCCTGGAGTGGCCTAGCCAGTCTCCAGACCTTCATCCGATTGAAAATCTATGGAGGAGCTGAGAGTTCGAGTTGCCAAATGTCAGCCACCAAACCTTAATGACTTGTGCATTTTTGCTGCGTTTTCAATGCATTTCAGGATTGGTTCACACCAATGCGTTTTGTCCATTTTGCAGTGCGTTTTGCGTTTTTGCATGCACATTTTGAGGCTTTTTTAAATTTTTTTTGGCCAACTTGTTGCTGGGCAGATTAAAAACGCAAAACACCTCCAAAACACAAACACGCATGTTTTTGATGCGTTTTCAATGCATTTTAGGCCTAGTTCACACCAATGTAGTTTGCGTTTTGTCTTTTTTGCAGTGCATTTTGCATTTTTGCATGTGCATCTTGGATGCGTTTTTTGAGGCTTTTTTTTTTTTTTTCGCTAACTTGTTGCCGGGCAGATTAGAAAAAAAAACACAAAAAGCATCAAAAACATGTCAAACTCATGAAAAACAAACAAACAAACGCACTAAATGCGTTTTCTGTAGCATCTCCATTGAAGTCTATTGAACCAAAAACACAACATTTTGCATTTAAAAAGGACCAGACCCTTTCCAAAAACGCAGTAACTCCAAAAAGCATAGCTGTGAACATGTCCCATAGGAAACCATGTTAAATAGATTGCAGTGCATTTCAATGCATCGGTGTGAACGAGGCCTCAATGGGGAAGGGGGGGTGTGCGTTTCTGTTGCAGCACGCAGGATTTTGAACACCGCCAGGGAAGCGCAACACACTATTGTGAAGGCATGCAATGAATTTAAAGGGATGCATTTTTCTTGAGCTTTTTGTGCACCTTTTTTTTTTTTTTTTTTTTTTGGCAAAAGCATTTCAAAAACTGCTCAGTGTGAAAGCATCCTGCTGGCCGAAAAGTGCTGAAAATAAATTCAGATTCATTTAAATTTATGAGATTAAGTAAAAAGTCAAATATAATATAATTACTATAAAAAAAAATATAAAAAAAAAAATATTAAAAAAAAAAAAAACGATTTTGGTCCCGAATTTTCATTTCTGCGCATCACTTCTATAAAGCAGCCTAAGTAGGAATCATCGTCTTGTATCACTTTTTTAGCTTACTGTATTTATTGCAATATGTTTCCATTTTG